TTAATATTATTATGTTTTTTTTTTTATTATATATATATATTTATACGTATGTTTGTTTGTTTGTTTTTTTGTATGTACGTTTTTGTATGTAGAAGAATCGAGTAGAAAGATTTTTGTTTCATTTTTTTTCATGGTTTTTTGTTTTTGTCGCGGTTGCTAGTCAAATAATTGTAATTTGTATTTTTTTTGCATCACGAACAAATAATAATTAATAAAATATACAAAAGAGAAAGAGATAGAGAGAGAGAGAACACAATGTGTATAATAGATTAGGTGAAATGTCGATTATGAATTAGATTAGATTTTTCTTGGGTCGTTTAATGGATCATTATTATTTTTTATATATATATGAGATTTAATAGTCGAATTATTATTTTTTTTTTTTTGGTCTTTTTTAATTTATTTCCTTTGAACGATATTATTTAAGAGAAAAATATAGAATCACAAATTTCTAATTCGATTTTCACGCGTTAAAGAAGAAGACAAATATATATTTGATATTTTTTTATAGAATATTATATTATTATTTTAGTAGAAAAAAACAAAATAGGAAAAGGTTTATTTTGCATTTTTCTTTTGTTAAATTTATGTTCGCAATAGTATTAAATAACGTATATATATAGTTTAATTTGATGAATATTTAAATATATTATAATTTTAAGGTCCCTTTTTATAGAAACTATGTTCAACGCGTATTGTTATTTCATTCTTTGAGAATATTTTTTAATATTATTGGCACTAATAAGGAAAATTTATTAATGTTTTTTTTTTCTTTCAAATTCTGATTGATCTATCGATTTAATTATCGTAACAAATAACTCGTTCTAATTTTTTTAATCGTTTTAACTAAATCTAGTCAATATCTAGTACACGATTCAAATATATTCATTTATTTTTTTAATCATTATAATCATCTGAATCATCTCTAAACTCGTCATTCATAAGGATACACATTTTAAAATAATTATAACTTGATGCCTAAAAACGCGTTTAGAAAAAATCCTAATCTCTCTCTGTGTTTAATTTTTATTTATTTTTATTTTAATAATAGTTAATAATAGTTATATATATTTTTTGGTTATTCCTTCCTTCCTTTCTTTATTTTTCAGAGTAAATAGATAAGTATAATATAATGATAAATAGTATTAGAGAGTTTATGGTAAATAGTATAATAGTTGCGATAGATCGTTTTTTATTTATTTATTTTTTTCTTTTCTAAAATCTAATTGGTGTTCGTACGTTGTTCCCCTTTTTACACTTTTTATTTCTGTTTAGTTTATTTTAATTTAACTTTTACTCTTTTGGTAATATATAATTCCTTTTTTTTTTTCTTTTTATTTATTTAAATGTATTTTTAACAACATCTTTTCCCTTCTTTTTTTTCTTCTTCTTTTCTTTTTTAAATTATTCGTCAACGTTTCTCACAATTATCCAATTCGATTAATTTTACATTAACAAACGTACAAGGTGTCTCGAAAAAAAAATGTACACGTCGTCGTTAGATTAAAATTAAAGATTTGTATTATTTTCGGATTAAAAAAAAGAACAAATTATATATTAAAATAAAGAAAAAAATAACAAAACACACTATAGATCAAAGAATACGTAGAAATATATTTCTGTTTCGAGAACACCCTGTAGATTGTTAAATCGTTAAATAAAACGTGAACAATTAATTAATCACGCGTATATATTTGGGAATATCTGTTGAATTACGAATTGCAACGCGTTCTGTTTCTTTTCTTTTTGTTGCTGAAATAATATTGTTTCATATTATTTGTTTGTTTAGTTTTATTATACATATATATGCCATAAAGGTAATCTAGTATATATCATGTACCTTTCTTGAAAATATTATAGTTGGCACAGTGTTGATTGTGTCCGTCGTGTAATTTAAATCTTATGCATGTTTTATGTGGTTATTTTTTTATACTTCCTGTATTTATTTATTTTTATATGGTTCTTTTCCTTATTTTTTTTTTTTATTTTTTTTTTTTATATTTTTTTTTTAAACTATCTACCAGCATTTTCCTGCATAGACCCTGTTTAATTTCTAATCAAATTCACACCGATTCTCGTTTTAGAGTTATCATCATATTTTTAACGCGTGTCTATTTTATTATTATTATTTCATTTATATATTCAAATATGTTTGCGTTTACGTAATAACAAAAAAAGTGATTTGTAAAAAGGGTTGAGTTTGGCTGGGCGACAGGGGGAGGCTTTTGGGGTGGAGGGAAAGGGAGGGAGGAATAAATATTTAGTATGAATTATAGACGAAAAGTATTAGATTAGAAAAATGTTGATAGACCCCAATTAATTTCTAATTAAAATTCAATACAGTTTGTTAATTTCGACGTTTACAAGTGTGTTCATTTTTTAATATTTTTTTTTTTTCTTTCTTAATAATTATATTATGTGTATGTATGTATGTATGTATATACATATACATATAGATTATTTTATAATTAGAGATTCGTGGATGATAAATTATTATGTGACAAAATTTGATATTACAAGAGATTAGATTGTGTACGTGTGTGTGTGTATGTATTTTTTTCTTTTTTTTTTTAAAGTTCTAATTAACAAACTTATTTTTCCCGCCCACAATTTGATTTAGTTTCATTTTTATTGTTTCGAATTTTGTTTAAAATTGGATGTGTCTATAAGCAAGGCCGCGAGATATTTTTTTGTTTTTGTTTACTAGGAAAAAGTTCAAGTTATTAGAATATTATAGAAAAATGGTTTTAATCGTAATTAAAAATACTATGAGTAATATTTTGAATACGCGTACGCTTAAAATACACTTACGCGTTATCTTCAGTATTTTTTTTCTTTTTTCACATTTTTAAAATACAATTTTATTCGTCAAAGCTCTTACTATTTAACAATAAATAATTCTCTATGTGTAATTCGATAAATTCATGCTTTTATTTCTAAGATAAAATGCATCATAATC